GTTGCAAGGATATGGAAGGAGAAGATGTTGACTGGTTAGTAAGTAATCACTCAGAAAACAACCCGTCATTTCTATACAATTTTTTTTGAATTTAATCTCATTTAAGGTTTGCTGCTATCAAACTTCCCTCAGACGTTGACGCAGCGAAAGGTTTTAGCTTTGTCTACTTTGATTCACAGTCAGGCGGATGGACGCAGAGCACATTACCCATCAGCGATAAAAAATCTGCAATTGGAGCCACACTCAGTCAGCTTTATAAAATTAACAAGGTCTTTTTTTTATATTTTAGCGGGCGAGTCTAGGTATTGGAGTTCTTATCTGAACAGTAGTTGTGGCGCCTTGAAGGCAGTGTCTCACCAAACTTGGGATAGTGCGGATTTCCACACATTCTACTAGAGGGCCCCAAATGGCCAATGCACCAAGTCCGACTCGATTTGGCCCTTCTATGCAGAGAAAAATTAGCTCAAAGTGGTACGCAGAGAGCGATTTGGTATGCGCGGACGCTTTTCCGGTCTCTCCCCTTACACGTTTTAACCCTGTTAGACCAGGGTCCTATAGGTAACTGAACTCCGAGTTCCTGTTCAGTAAAGTACATAAAGACGCAGAGCGGCCAATATTACGGTCTGGACGATAACTTGAAGCTGAATTTCTAAGCCATAAATGGTTCAAAAAGGATACCGCGTGGGCATACGCAGTTATTCCACGTAATATGCCTGAATGCTAGATTTCCAAAGACGCTGACGACAGGTTAAAACTTAGCTTAATCGCTCTTTAGAAAATGTTCGCGATCGCCTATAATGATGACAGCCCAGATGGACCGGTGGACAGTGGTCGAGCTCACAGTAAAGGTGTGGCCGTATTTGACCATAAATTTGGATTCTGGATGGTACATAGCGTGCCGAATTTCCCACCTTCTAAGGGTGAGTATTCAAAAATCATCAGAGTAGGTTGTTGAAAGATCAATTTCACTCCGAAACTTTTAAAACCATATTTCTTAGTACTGCAGAATGGTAAGCAGAAGGGAAGAAGTGAAAAAACGCAAGAAGGGGTTGCAGATTATTAACAAAAAATTCCAATCAACTTGCGATGATAGAGTACTATGGTTTGTTATTTTCGGGACATCTCTCTCAATATGTGTAAATAAAGAAAATCTGCCTGTACTCATGTATGTCTGTCCGTATGTGTGTACGTACGTTTCAAATAGAAAATTTTATTTCTGTACCGATCGGACCAAACTTGGCACACATACGCACAGGGGTGGGGCGGAGATACTGTCGTAGGCTACTATAAGCTATTGATTAATAACGATTTTACCAACTTTCTGCAGAGTTTCACATACGAGGTTGGGGTTTGCACAGGGGGAAAGTGAGCGTGCTCATTACGAATATATCAGGTCGTTCCGGAAATTGTCTCTTTTTTCAAAGAAACGCCACATTTTGTGAAACAAAGATCACTAACAAGGGAACGGTACTCAATGTCCTAGCCTTTTGAAGTGAAATGCATACCATTACACTCGTCTTCGAACGCTGATTCCGAGACTTCCGTTTCTGCTAGTTGTTTCTTTGAAAGAGGTTATGAAGGATTTTCGCGCCAAGTTTGGCCGCTCGAGAGTTGATAGAAACGGACAATACCGCCGGTAAGCTGTGGTGCAGTGGCTAGTGCGATAGTCTCACAAATTCATGCAGGTGTAGTTTCGGATCCTTTTGTGTTTTTCAGTTTGCATTGCCTCAATTGAGTTTTGAAAGTTAGGCTTCCTCGAGGTAAATGCATGTCCTT